TCTGAGGGATCAAAATCAGAAGAGGAACATGCAAACGTAGCACTCAAGGGTACCAGTTCTGAAGAAGACACATCAGAAACAAAGTCCGACTCTGAAGAGGTATTTTCTGAATTCTCTTGAGTTGAATTAGAATTATGTCTATTAGAAACTCTAAACAAGTATTAGAAACTTCAACAAAATTTCGGGAATCTTCAGAAGGTTCATGAATAGAAATTGAAGAATATGGTAAGATAGAGAAATAAAGTCTTGAACAAAATGATGATCAATTGATTTTAAAAAATGAAAATATGTTTCTAATAAAAAATGTTCAAAACTTGATGAAGTTATTTCTAAAGCTCATTCACCTTTTGAAATCGTCTTGTACAAACATGATAAAGCTTTTCAGAAGTTCCTAAATGATAATATAGGCATAAGCATGATGGCTTATATGGTCTATGGTGGCAGTCATAATGGGAAAAATATGAATTGGTTATGTTTCTGATTAAACAAATTAGAACTCTTTTAAAGGAGACCAACCTATGTCACCATTTTCTTATTTATATCCTCTTGCACAAACACAAAAATGTATCAATGCACAGAAACCCAAAGTGGTGAGAAACTCTAGGAAAACTAACGCTAAAGGACTCAAAAGATTATGGGTACCAAAAGAATAGATTGTGTATTATGTACTTGTTCTAGACAGAAAAGCTGAACCAACACCTGAACTATGGATACTTGAATCACATGATGGGAAAAAGGCATATGTTCCAAAACATGGAATATGAGTTTTGTAAAAATGTGTGAGTTTTAGAAGAATACAGAAGAAAGACATAAGGAAGTCTTATCTGAAGTCTAAAAGAGAAAGCAAAATTGTCAGAACAATAACTTGATTCTGAAGAATTAAGAAGAACTAAAACAGTGCCCTGAAATTATGATTTTGAGCAACGTGCCTAGACTTAAAAGGAATCACGTGTTAGAAAGGAAGAATGTATTTAGAAATAAATAAATTAAAAAATTGAAAACTATCAGAAACAACGAACATCAGGTTAGAATCTACTATTTTTCTAATATGATTATTTTATTTGTTTTGTCTAGATACTTCTATGAGTTAGAAGATGTCTTAATCAGAAACATCTCAAGTCAGAAACCCTTTGGTGTTCTTAACCTCGAGAACATCAATATGTGTCTCTTCAAACAAGTGGTTATGAGTCATCATGATATCTGTCAGAACACGTTGTTTGGATGACATCTCGAGCAATGGGACGTCTTGAGATTAGGTTTCGAAAATATCATTACCCTATTTTTTAAAATTCCAACATTCATAATCATTTAACCTTTTCTTATATATATATATATATATATATATATATATATATATATATATATATATATATATATATATATATATATATATATATATATATATATATATATATATATATATATATATATATATATATATATATATATATATATATATATATACTCACTCCTCTCACACTCTCACACTCACACACTATGCTACCTCAGTTTTGTACCTTTTCCTCATTAACCTAAAACCCTTTCAAATCCGACTTCATCGACTATGGCTGCTCAACAACAAGAAATCATTTCATAATAAATGGGTACAAAGTCTCTTAACCCAGGATCTTCATATGATCAACAAACTCAAGAACTCTATATCTTCATCGCGCTGATGTTGTTCATCTCTCCGCATATCCTGATGAACTGGATGTTCTCTAGGAACCTCTTGTAGATTTTGAAAACTTTAATTTAAATGGGATGAATATTACCAAAGAACTCAATGATCAAGGATGGGAAATCTACTTCAAACGACTCCTTAGTCCTATCTACGCCAAACTTGTAAGGGAATTCTGGATACATGTTGGAGCTGAAGAAATGTATATCGTGTCCCATGTTTTTGGTTCAAAAATGGTTATTACGGAAAGATCCATAGCAACCTTGCTTGGAATGGAAAAGGAAAGAGGAAAAAGGATTTATCGTGGTAACTCAAAATCTGCCTTTGTACGTGAAATAATCACTCCTGCAATTTCCATTGAAGGAAAACCAAGAACCTCTGAAGGGAAATCAAAGTTTAAATATTGTGATATACACAAGAATCTTAAAGTATGGTTTAAGATTATTCTGGGTTCTATTCATCACAAAAAAGCAACTAGCTCAGTCGATCATGTCAACACCGATCAGAAATGCATACTGTATTATCTAATGAAAGGAATCAAGATGCATCTTCTATCTCTTCTCTTTAACTATTTAAGTGACTCTGTCATATCAACTAGATAAATCAAATCAGGGAAGTCCAAGAATACTTACATTCTTATGGGGGAGACTAATTTCAGACATTCTGATTGTAAATGGCCGCATAGAACATCTCACTAATCAGAATCATATGGAAGGTATTGAGACAGATACATGAAAACCCTTCAATGGTAATAATCTCAAAACCTTGAATATTGTTGAAAAGTCATGGAAAGTGATTAAATCAAGCACTTCTGAGAATCTACAGAATATCAAGACTCTTAGGATATCAGTTGTCGGATATCCTTCATTTACGGAGTTTGACTCACCAACAACCCTAGAAGCCTATATCAAGGGGGCTGAAGCAGAGTGTACTGATAACTCTGAAATTAAGATTAATGATAAGAAATCATCTACTCTCAAGAGGAAGTTTAATTTAATCTATAAGAAGAAGAATAAAAATAGTAAGAAGCAAAAAACTCTGGGGAAAGGAGATTCTGCGAACATCAATGTTTATGCGTCTCAAGCTAGTAAGTCTTCTGAAGTTGTTGTATCTGGTCCTGAACTTGCTTATGTTACTTCATCTATGCCTATGTGTTATAAACTAATTTTTGACCCAAGATCTTACTTTATATGCATCATTACATCTCTAACAAAATACAAAAGTAGCTTGTGTTTTCTCTTTGTGTCAAACAGTGTTTTGAATCAAGAAATCTCCATCAATACAAGTCTTGATCAAATTAGGGTTTTGATTAAAGTGGATCATTGACTTTTGGCTCAGTGCATGACCTAATGGCTTGAGGCATGATTCAAAGAACTCAAATGCAACATCTTGACCTATTACATGGCTTAAGACATTCTCAAAAATACAATTGATTGATAGTGATAGAATTGGAATCAACTGATGAAAGGTCAACTGTCACACAAAAGTCAAACTTGGACTTTTTTGGTCAACATTGAACTTCAAATATTAAGGATCATCGAAACATTCAAGAATATAAAACTTGATCATCAAGAACCAAGAGAATCAAGAAAGTCAACAAAAGTCAAAGATGAAGACTTTTAAATACTTAGAAATTTTCAAGTGTTTGTACTCAAAATTACCCCAACTTCATAAGCAAGTTTCACTAAGATTCAAGTTGATTCAAAGAAAACTTTCAACATGAAAGTTATAGGAAATGAAAAGTTGCGCAATTTTTTCATTGAGGGTTGATCTCCAAACAATGCTCAAATTAAGAGTTATGGGTATGAGAACTTCTGTCAACGCTTAGAAAAAAATATCATACAAGTTTTGGTCAGTTTTTATCTCAACTTCATGGCCAATTTACACTATAATCTAGATTGATTCAAGAAAAGTGTTCAACATAGAAGTTGTAGATAATGCTTCAATCTTTCCAAAAAGTCCTGGAGCATGAATTTATCATACTTAAGCAAGAAGTTTCGAATTTATGAAGATGGATGGTCAAAGTTACATTACAAGTCATTTTTGTGATGACCTAAAGACCAAATCTCCAAATCATGCTACATAATATTTCTTTTTAGGCAATAGTACCTCTAAAATGATAGAAAGTTGCATTTGATTATTATAGTTACAATTCGTATTAATACAAGTTCTAAATTAAGATGCAGAAAAGACAAGCTATAGCACGTGATTGTGAAAGAAGCGAAAATTAAAAAATATAACGAAATTAAACTATCATAAGTAAAAAGTAGTCACATTTCCGTTTAGGTTAAGATTTATACCCATTATAAACAACGTCGATTGGATTGTAAAGATTTGATTTGGTATCCTAAACCCTAATCTAGCAAAGACATCTCCTAGTCTAAATGACATATACCTTAGATTTCTCAAACACAAAGGACTTATTCTAATTTAGTCTCTCCTTTCTCTAAAAAAATGATTATAACTTTATCTTTGAATAAATATAATGAAAAAACAAGTAATTGTTTTTGTTTACAAATATCAACCAATAAGAAATGTAAACAATTTTTTGTACCAATATAAGTGTTTAATATTTCAACAAAGAATGTATACAATAAAATCACATGATATTTTTTTTGATAGAGAATTTTTTTGTCTTGATAAGAAATAAAATTAAAAAAGTAGTCAAAGTAATCCAATGCATCAATTAATGCTTAGGATTGTTTTTATCTCTTATTCCTCTTATCTTTTCTATAACTAACTATAAATTAAAATTGTTTTTGTATCTTTCTAAACATTTTATTTTAAAAAAATCACAAGTTAAATTATTATATTTTTGTTTTTTTAATAAATGTGATTTTTATTCTTCTCTTATATTTTAGAACGGAGAAGACACTTTAATAATTAGTATTAAATAAATTAATAGTATTAATTATATTACTAAAATTATTGGCGAGCAAATAAATTTTAGGTTTTAAGACTATCTTTGGTACTCGCATACGCAACTTTCCCCTTTATTTTTTCTTTGGAAAATTCTCACAAATAGCCTATTGATCATTTTTTTAATTGGTGATGTTAACACATTTTACAGACATATATGAAGGAAATTTTAAGAACACGGAGATCTTTGTAAAAGCTACTCATGGATTCTAATCAAGTTTTAAAGTTTTTCATAAAAATACTTAAAATGATAAACTTTAAAATTACAGACACTCGAACAAGATTAACTCAACATGAAATCAAAAACTAAATTAAAATTGTTCTAAAAGTATTGCAAAACAAACAACATATAAGAAATAACTGGATTATGAAGAAAGTAGTCCCTGAAAATTAGGCAAGCATATCAATTATTTGCAGACTCCAATTTTATTTTTACTCCAATTGAAGTAGGTGAAAGTATTTGATTATGAGCATTATTATTGACTGAAGCAACAGGTGGATGAGCAGTCAAAGAAGAAACAGGAACAAAAGTAGTTGTTCCATCGTTGAGCTTTTGAATCTGAAGACGTGGTCTCTTTCGAATTCTGGACATGTATCTCTTTTTCCTCTCTTCTTTACTTTCGAACTTGTAATGACTTGATGCATGAGAAGCAAATTTTTGTGATGTAACAAACACTTGATTGCACTTTGGGCAGATGTACGGTCCATATTTCTTACATGCTAAACTGTGCATTCTGCCATCATCAATATTTTTCTTGTCCTTCTTGTTGTTGATATTGTTATGATCAATATCAACATGAACATGATTACCATCACCATTAACACTGGCACCGATTGTCCGAGATGGCATATTATATGATTTAAATGAGTCTGTGGTGAGATTGGGATGATAAGAAGTATCATTCATCGCCATCTTCATATTGTTGTCGTTGATGACACCAACAACATTATTATTAATTGATGGTGATGATGCTGTATGTGGATTCCCAAATTGAGTTTCTAGAATCTTCATTGCTTTTTTGATTCCAGCAACATGACTTCCATAACAATTGGCAGCTGTTGATGATAATGAAAGGTTGTATGCATGTGTTTTCAAGTTGAATTCAGAAAGTGAAGAAGATGTATTTTTAGAGGCCATGGATGAAATGCAATTCAAATAAAATTGCAATGACTATGAAAAATATTGCTTATAGATTGATGTTATTATGACTTGAACTTTGTCCCTCCCTCAATTTATAGTACTTTTTTTGTATATTTTTAATGTTTTTTTTATCCTATGAAACATTAATAATTTTCTAAATTAATGATTATATTTAATGAAATATTTAAACTTTCTTTACTTTAAATTTTGTAATTTACTATCATATGCTAGATATATGAATTTTACTTATGAGTTAATAAAATAAAAATCTAATATAAAATTTATATTATTTATTAAGTAATTCTTTAACGAGTGGTGGTGTGTAATATATACATTAATTGTTTTTTAGGTAGCATATACGATTTTTTTTAATACTATTTTTATTATTTTAAATTTATTTTGACGACTTTAATTAATACAAATTGGTATTTTCATTTATTCTTATTAATAAAACTTCTATAAAAATTAATAATTGGTACATTTTCAAATATGTCTCATAATATTTTATCATGTTTAATTACATTGTATATTCCTAATATGCTATTAATTTATAAAAAAGTAGTAGTATTCTTTTTAATTATTTTCAAGTATTGTTATAATGTATTAGTGCATTCACATAATAATAAATAATATTGAGTGATTTAAATAATATTAAATAAATAGTATAATTAATAAAAAATAATTAATATTGTATATATAGAAAATTTAAATGAGTAAGTCATTTTTAGACAATTTTTATTATTATATGAAAGAATTTTTTTTTTTTTGAAAATGAATAATTTTAATTTCATTTTCCCATGCAACTTTTGAATTTCTAACACTCATAAATTTAAATATATCTTTGAAATAACTTTCTTCACACCTCAACTTAAAATATGCACATCCTTACAAATGTATCAATCTCACATCTTCAATGCAATAAAAATTAAAGTTTGACTCCATCACATATTCCCAATAAAACATGCATGTTTCACAACAGATAAAATATATATTGTCTTATTTATTTCCAAAGTAACTTTAAATATACTTTTGAGATAATCTTTTTTCACACATTTATACACATTTTTTTTTTTAAATTCATTAAATAATTAATGTATTTGATTTATATTTAAGTTATATACATAAATTATTCATTGAACCTGAAATGAAATATTTACTTATAATAATGACAAAACAGTGTATATAATACAAATATCTTTTAATGAATTTAAAATTGAGCAAATCACCGACTTTAATTATAACACATGTTTCCAATACAACTTACATATTTGAAATACAATTGTTTCAATGTACACGTTATATCTTAAACAATATTATTGTTTAATTGATTTAAAGAGTATTATAGACGATATTTTTTTCTTATATCCTATGTAAATTTTAAGGATTTTATTTTTATAATTTTCAAATATATTTTCAAACTCTCACAAATGTATTATTATTGTCATGTAGTTTAATGTAATCAATCTTCAACAAAGCTCAAAGTTTAAATTCATTGTACATTCCCAATACAACATGCATGTTTCACAACACATGAAATATGCATCATCTTTTCATTTTCCAATGCAACTTTTGAATTTTTAAGACTCATCATTTTGTATATATTCTCAAGATAACTTTCTTTACGCATCCACTAAATTGTTTAGTATACACATCTTTTAATGCAGAGTAAGTCACAAGTTTTAACTACAACACATGTTTCTAACGTGACTTACATATTTCAAGCACAATTGTTTTAATACACATATAATATTTTAAAAGTTTAATTAGACTTGTTATGGACCGGTCAAAAGGCCCAATCGACCAAGCCTCAACCCATTAATAACCCATTCTATTCTATCCAAAATATAAAAACATTTCCTACACTATGAGAAGGTACACAATTTTGATCTCCAATTTTACTATACTCATCTTGAATCTTGATTTGACTTGGGCGTTGGAGTATTAACCATGCAACTTTACTCTTCACACCATTGTAAAGGAGACTGAGGCCACCGTCCAAGATCACTATTATCCAACTCTCTTCATTTATGTTTACTTCGCAGATCTTAAACATCCATTATTGATTCTTGAATAGAAAACCGGTGCCTTTTTTAGGAATCGACTTATGATTCCTACAGTTTCCACGAGAATCATGTTTGCTTCACGAATGTCGTTGAATAAAAACAGAAACTCTAGATCTGAAATCTTACAGTTCAGATCCAAATCTCTGATTCACATATTTGTAGCCTTCTTAGTTTACCGAATTAAAAATTTATTCAATTTTCAGTTTTAACATTCTCCTCGGATCACTTTTGTGTCTCAGCTCACTTAGCTCCTAAAATCAAGAGCATTCAAAAGCAAACGTGGAAATCTACTGCAATTGACCACTCAATCACTGTTTTTGCCTTAATTCCTCACTGTCAAGTTTTTTTATTTCCTCGAGAAATCTGCATAATAAGGGAAGGAAGGATTACAAATCCAGATCTAAGGTTACGTTTGGGTCTAAAGGCACATCCCATGAAGGTCGGGCTAAAGCCTTAAATCCACTATTCGGCCTAGCTATACCCATACTTCTCACGGGTTCTAGAGTCGACTCCAAAAAGATACCACAAGGGGGTGCCTGGACACCCACTATCAGTACCAAAGGGTATCATACCTACATCCATAGTACCATAGCCAGTTCCAATGATCCAGGGAGAAACTGGTCAATTCAACTGCATCGTCTATGAGAAATGACAGTTGATTTCAAGGACGATTCATTGATGTACTACCCGTCACTACTATCTCGGGGTAACACATAAAAAAGGATAAGGCTTCACAATAGATGACAACCAGAGTGGCAATGATAGATGGGGTTTGCCGACCATGAAATTAGAGAGAAGGCACCAACACCCTGGGTTCTGTTTGAGAAAGGAATAAGCGAAGTGTAAGTCTAGCCGCCCGCCTGTATAGCTCTCCCAAAGGAAATACTAAATGGGAAAGGCATTTCTCATTCCTCCATGGTCGAGAAAATCAGCCATACAACATATGTTGGTAGATAAATGTAAGGTAAGGCACCTTATACACCTTCCAACCGAATGGACACTTAGAAGTGCGACGAACACTTAACCCGGCTTTCCAAGAGAAAGGCAATGGTCAAAAAACCTGAACATTGTCTGACCATCCCGAAGTCATCATTGAGGGTTATCCACCCCGATGATTCTTTAACACACACACACACACACACACACACACACACACACACACACACACACACACACATATATATATATATATATATATATATATATATATATATATATATATATATATATATATCTTTGTTTTATGATTCTTTTTCTCTTTATGCTTGAAAGCCCAGAATAAGAGAAGAAAGATAAAGTGCGTGAATATGTATTTGATATGTACTTAACATACTTATGTGATTCTGATGCGACTTAAGTGTATTCTGATCCCATTGTGCATTTGATACAGACTTAACGCACTTCAGAAATTATGATACGACTTCAAATCCACTCTATGTGTGAATGTGTACATGATTCGAACTTAACGCTTTTATGCGATTCTGATAAGACTCGAGAACATTTTTCCCCATTGCGTATCTGATACAAATTTAACGTGATTATGTGATTCTGATACGTCTTAAATGAACACCTCACAACCGAGGCTTATAAAACACATTTCTGCATAACTGGTGGTGTACCCTCTCTCAGATCTAGTCAATAACAGGGCATAAGTGGTGGAGCCTGGAGACGTCCACTTCAATCTAAGCCAAGCCTCTAGGGAAGGGATGAGGATCCTACCCTTGGTTTGGGAACAATCCTCTATAAAACAGAACACAGTTAAAAAATACGATTATATAACCTCGACCTCGTTAATCATGTGTATCACCCGAGAAGCGCAAAGAAATCGACAAGTGTCATATATGCGTATTTAAAGAAATACATATTATAACAAAAACTAAATACAAAAAGCAAATATAGGAACAAAAAATGCTATCTGACATCATTCAATGTATCGAGTTGCAAAAGAACAAGGAAAATTTCAGAGTTACATCTGCCATCTCATTACTATCGAATATGCTGCTTCTTTCGTAAAGCAAAGCAATAAAGGATCTCACATCCGTAACAAACAATCCAACATCAAATATGAACGTTGGTGGTTCATCCTAAATTATAAAAGGAAATAATGACTTTACAGATAAAGATAGAGAACTCCTCCCTATAACAAATTGTGAATAATGATAATGATAACATAAAGGCTTGCACAAAGCTCTAAAGCTAACAATACTTGAAATATCAAGGTAAAATATTTCATTAAATATAAAAAAAATTGATGCACCCATGGTACAAAAGCTTGGGAATCATTGTAGGAAATAGATAGCACAAAGAAAAAATAAAATCAAGTTGGAGCGTTAGAAGCCAAAGCATCGAGACCGCCTCTCTCTAGAAGCGGACTTAAACGGGTCTAGTGCCTCGACATAAATTATTCCACCTGGATACAACTTCCTATCCTAATCCAAAAATCATTCTCGAACTCCAAGCACCTCCCACATAGTCTATTTAAAAGCAACATGAAACTCCCACTCAAGATCGGCCTCCTCGCTTTGGGGAGCTTTTGGGGCCTTTGCTTCTTTTCAAAACTTTTCCTCTTGGCGTACCTTTTCATTAATGGAATCAAAGGCATCCTTGTATCACTTTTATGTATCTCGAAGAGAAACCTCCTGCTCAGTCAAATGAGCTGCCAAGACAGAAGGAGAGCCATGCATTTTCACCGCCTCTTGCAAAGAGTAAGAAACTTTAACTTCCTCCTACAACGCAAGAATCTCTTTTTAAAGATTGGAACACTTCGTCTCCATAGATCCAGCCTTCCCCTTCAAAGTATCTCACTCAAGAAATGGACTACCCGGGGCCAAGACATCACTCCGTCCAAATGTGACGAGAGAAAAGATGGTAGCAGCTTTGAACATGCTATAAGAAAGCTTAAAGTCATTTCCATTTTATCCCTCTCAAAAAGTT